CAGAGACAGAGTGGGGAGCAGAACAGGCAGATGTACTGAAATATACTGCTGAGGGGAGCAGCAGGCGAGTCAGGAGAGGTCTGCTGCGCCATGTGGGCAGCTCCTTGGCCAGGGATCGAACTCGTCCTGCAGAGGCTGTGGATAGCTTCATAGGTTGCATCTTAACCCTTGCACCACCAGGGAGGCCCCTTTACATCTTTTTCAAAAAAGAATTCCATGACACATTTTCTCAGGTATAGTTATAAATGTTTACATAAATAATGATATTTTTAAGTTGCTGTCCATGATAACTTTTGCTTTCCATTTATTTTAATATCATTATTTAGACACATGGATAATTTTTCTCTGTAGTACAATCACATAAATTGAAATTATTTTTATTTTTTAAGCCTTTTTTTTTTTTTTTTGCAGTAGACTGGTACTGAATAGAATGGAATGCTCCTCAGTTGAGTTTTTATTTTAAGGCCCATCTTTTTACTGTGAGATTTTCTGGATCTAAATATATATTTCTCTTGTGGCTTTTCTTTCTCCATCCTATCAAATGTAATAATGATTATGTTATACTATTAAACCTTGATTATATAGGAGTTCTCTGATCCTGTTAGTTTAGTACTTGAAACTATACAGGGTTTTCTCTTATTATAATATTCCTGGTAGATTATATAAAGATAATGGAAGCGTCTTCTAAAAATTGAGCCTCTGCATTAAACAAAAGAGTGTAGGACTTTGACAACAAATAAATTTTCCAAGTAAAGAAGGTAATTTGAGTCTAAAGAACAAAGAATTCATGTCCATTAATCACACTTAAAGTTTATTAAGGACAACTTACATACAAGTGCACTGGGCAACTGAGCTGGTAGACAGGACTTTTGGCTGAGGCATGAACCCTGACAAGGGTATTTTTATACTGTGCTTAGTAAATGCAATCATTCTTGTATAAGAAAAATGATACAAAATGTTTCTTTTTTTTTAGGGTATATGACACAGGTGTTCTTGTTCTACTAAGATTAATAGAGTTGTGTATGAATAATGAGTACAGGTTAATGCATATGGAAAAAAAAATAGGAAATTGGATATACTCCCACTGTAGGGCAATTACTTGTCAGTCTTAAGATGCATCAACACATCAGGCATCCCTACAAATATCAAAGTATTTAAAGAAACAAAGTATAGGGAAATCACCTTATTTTTCCAATTATCTTTATGAAACTTATAAATTGTTATTTTCTACATATCATCTAATGTTTCCTTTTCCTCTGTAAGGAAACATTTTGCTCATAACACAATATGCTATACATACAAATTAGTATACCTTTCACACTACAAAGAATGGTTAAATTTCTATTATTTGAAAGTAATACTCTAACACATTGATACACCATTTGAGTACAAGTATTAATCTTAGACTTTCTCTTTAGAGCTAAATAATATTCCAGTGTTTGGCAGTACTAGTTACTTTACCAATTCACATACTGAAGCACATGTTGGCCTCTTCCATGTTTTGGGTAGTACAAATAGAGCTGTTATAAATATTCTTGTGCAAGGTTTGGTATTGACATACTTTCCACTCATATGAGTAGATATTAAGAAACACAATTGCTGAATACTGTGAAAAGAATGCATTTAATGTTGGAAGAAAATAGCTTCCAAAATAGTTATACCATTTTGCATTCTTACCAGCAATGAATGTGACTTCCTTTTGCCCACACCCTATCAGCATTTCCTGTTGTCAGTGTTTTAAATTATAGCCATTCTAACAAGTGTGCAGTGGTATTGCATTGCAATTAAATTTTAATTCCCCAATGCCATATGAAATTGAACATTTTTATATGTTTATTTGTCATTCGTATATAATCTTTTATGAAGTGTCTATTCAGATCTTTCCCCCATTTTTAAATTAGGTTTTTCACTTTCTTATGAAGTTTTAAATGTTCTTTGTATATTTTGGATAAAAGTTCTTTATCAAATATGTAATTTGCCACTATTTTCTGCCAATCTGTGACTTATGTTCTCCTTCTCTTGATAATGTCTTTGTAGAGAATTTCTTAGTTTAAATGAAGTCCAACTTGTCTTTTATTTCTCCCATGGATCATGCCTTTGTTGTTGTTTTTAAAAATTCATTATAGAATTCTATAAGTCATATAGATTTTATCCTATGTTATCTTCTAGGAATTTTATAGTTTTGCCTTTTACATTTTGGTCTATCATACATTTTGAATTTATTTTTGTGTAAGATGTAAGATCTGTGTCTGGATTCATTTTTTTCCCCTTATATATAAAGTCTACATTTTAAGAATAGTTTTAAGGTTACATTACAATTGAGAGGGAGGTACTCACTGTCTCCACAAGTTCAAATCCTCTTTCATTATCTGCAGCCTCTACAAGCATAGTATATTTATTGCAATTGATAAATCTATATGGATAAAATAAAAATTAACTAAAGCCCATAGATTATATTACAGTTCAATTTTAATGTGGTACATTATATGAGTTTGGACAAAAAATAATGACATGTATTCATTGTTATAGCTCCTTACACATTATTTTCACTATATTAAAATACCACTGTGCTCTGCCCATTCATTTCCTCCAAACACTCAAAGTACCTGATAACTACTGACATTTTTACTTATTTCCATGGTTTTGCCTTTTCCAAAATGTTGTGTAGTTGGAATTGCACAGTACAGAACTTTTTCATAATGGCTTCATTCACTTAGCAAAATGATTTATTTTCTATACAATGATAGTCATTTATTTCAGCCCCAGTTGTTTTTTATAAGAATATTCTTTATTGATTATATTGCCATCTTTGTCAAAGTTTAGTTCAATGGGTTTGTGTAGGTCTATTTTAGAGTTCTCTATTTTGTTCTGTTGATCTGTCTATATTCTTTCCTCAGTGAATTCATTTTATTTTCTAGGAAGTTATTTCTATAAATGCCATTTTTCTTATCAATTTCCAGAATAGTATTATTTTCACATTAAAACATTCATACAGTGTATTTAAAATATAAATTTTGGATTTCTTTATTCAGAATTTTAATAAAGGCTTAGAATAGTACTAAAATAAACTTTTATTGCATGCATTTCCTTTTAGACAGTTAGGAATTTATAATTTTATTTGCAATAAGTTTAAATTACATCAAGTGCAGTTTAGTTTTAGTTTTATAGGATAAATATGACATTATCATCAAATAATTTACCTATTAGAAAAATGAGTATGATTCTTACTTTTTACCTTCTCTGAAAATAAATATCAGATAGATGGAAGAAATAAAGCCAGAAAATAGCTTTTTAAATGCACAAGAAATGTGTATGTCCAACCCTGAGCTTGGGATGGTCTTACTATTTCAGCAAAGGAAATATTGATAGAGTTGGCTATATAAAAATTTAACTATCCCAAAGTAAAAAAAAAAAAAGACATCATAAACAAATGGCAAACGTTTGCCATTTATGTAAACCATGGGTTTTATAATCTTATTCTATAAAAGTTTTAAGAAATCCATAAGCAAAAGATAAATACTGCATTAGAAAAATGAAAGGGAGAACCAAGAAAGAAACATAAGTACTAATGGCAAGTGGAACAACAAAAATCTGTTTTATCACAATGAATTGCACATTAATATACTATTAAAATATTGTATTTTACTTTTCACATTGGATTTTTTTTTTTTTTTTTTTTTTTTTTTTTTTTTAAAGGGTGAGGATCACTGGGCTGTGTGATTAGAACTTTCTTTTTTTTTTTTTTTTTTTTTTTTTTTAGAAGCATGTTTTTTTTTATTTATTTATTTTATTTTGTTTTTTTGTTTATACATGCACTGGGTACAGTCAGAAGCGCGGGAGGGTGAGAGAATTCACCAGAGCCAGAGCGGGGAGCAGAGCAGGCAGAAGGACCGAAGTACACTGCTGAGGGGAGCAGCGGGTGGCAGGAGAGGTCTGCACACCATGTGGGATCCTCCTCCGGTGGCCGGGGAGCAGCCGGGGATCGAACCGGCGCTGCAGAGGCTGCGGGCAGCTTCGCAACCCAGCGCTCAACCGCTGCGCCACCGGGGAGGCCCTCACATTGGATTTTAATACCAATTAGGAGAAGATTGCATAGAAGCATGTTTAATAAAAGGAGGCAGTATTTATTGAGCATTAACCAAGTCTGAAAATCTCACATATGTCTGATAGTTATTATACATTGTTACTGAAAATAAAAACAAAAAACTCATACAGCATAGTCAAATTACTATACTAAATAACTAAATATAGCTTGTTTAGTTTTCTATTACTCGAAAACAATAGGCAATAAAGAATTCAGTGTTTCTGTAGTTTTCTGATATTAATTGCTTTAGTCATTTTTGTACTTTCTTCCAAACTAAATAATTATACTTTTTGCAATTTCTCAAACTTGTGCCAGAATCATTATAGTTAAATCAGATAGAACACATGGTATTATCATATAATCAAACCTGAGACTGCATTAAGAGAAAAATAGGAAGTTGTAACCTCAAATTTGGTAACTATTTTGCTAAGAATAAGAAAATATACATCGAACAGTGAAAACATGTTTATTGCAAATTCATCAGGAAGCCTGGATTTTTTTTTTTTTAATCTTAAGTAACAAAGCATTGCTAATCACCCCCAACAAGACTTCTAGAGCAAAGGTCATTCCTGTCTGAGATCCCAAATATGACTAGGTCATGACCAACAGTATATTCAGAACCATACCAGGAAGTGTTTTATCCTGCTGGGAACACTGTTAGAATATGCTTATATTCAATAGCAGCACAGAAGCAGCACACTTATGGCCAGGAATAACTTTGCATGTGCGTGTGTTTATGTAAAATTATCTATATCTATGTATATGTGTGTGTGTGTTGCCTTCTTCCACAGAAAATTTGAGGGGGCTCCATTTATCATTCATTAAACATTTATTGAACACTGATTATGTATTATAGTTGCTTAGAAACATCAATGAAAATAGACATAAATATATCCTTCTTGACTTTATGTTTTAGCAAAGAAACAAAGGCTCTCTTTAAATAGCAAATTATACAGGATGTTAGAAGATAATTGCAAATGCAGAAACAAGAAAAGAAGAAATAAGAAAGATTAAGGTTAGTGATAGAAGTAAAGGATGATTGTAAATGTAAGATACATGGTTGGAAGTTGAAAAGTGGTACATGAGCGAATGCTTTTAAAAAGTGAGAGAATTAACTGATAGCTGAATGAAGAACATTTTAAGAAAATAAAAAAAAAGAGTCAATGCGGAAATCCCCAAGGAAGAAGTATGTCAGGGACACTTTAAATCAACATAGAAACCTGTGTGACTGGAGCAGAATGAGTGGCAAGGAGAGCAACAGGGAATACAGTCAGAGAAATAATGTGGATATCAGTGCAGAGAAATCTCACAGTACATTTTCTGGGAAAGTGCACATTATATTAGAGTCTACTAATATTTTTGTGGGGGAGAAAGTAATGGAAAATGGATTGCTTCCTTCAATTTAATAAGGGGAGGGTGAATTATTTAAAAACCCCAAAACAGGGCCTCCCCTGGTGGCGCAGCGGTTGAGCGCTGGGCTCCCGCAGCAGCCTCGCCGCCGGTGAGGGTCCCACAAAAAAAAAAAAAAAAAAAAATTGGTAGTTATTTTAGTAGCATATATCTGAATGCTATCTCTTATTCTTAACACATATTATATCCTTTACTCCCTAGCACAGCACAAGGAGTTAAACATCATTGTTACCATCAGGACTCAAAGGCACAAAGAGTAAAACTCAGTTAAAGTCATGCAGGATTCACATCCAGGATCCCTGCTTCAACCCAACTATTCCATATATTGTTTTTTATCCTTCATGGTATGTTATGCTTCTTCTAATTTCATATTCTAGCTTGAGAGTGTTAAACCATTCTTTTTGAATTATTTGTTATCAATTTTCATTACATTTAGTTTGCTGTTTTTATGTGTAATTTTGAGGGGGAAAATGTAATAAGGATGGAACACAAGTTTTAAAAGTTTGCCCAACTGAATTTGAAGTTTTGATGTGCTCCAAGGTATTTTGTAGGAAAGTCCTCAATATAAAAATAAGTGTAAGGCTAATAATGAGAATAACAGAGCGGGCCTGATGGTGACAGTTCACTATGTGGCTATCCTATCAGTATAGTAGCATTAAAAATCACTCAGGAAACCATCATCTTTGTGTCTGGCCAAAGAATTGACACCTTAGAAACTAAAAAAAAAAAAAAAATGGAATCACAAAATGATAGGCAAATTCTGTCTATGTTTATCATTGGTGTGAATTTATGACTGGAAAGTCACACTATCCTGTCATATGTACAATCAATATTGGCTCTATCATTACAACAAATATATACTAGTGATTCAAAATAGCTGAAGAATGAACTAAAAAATAATTGGTCACACTGTGGTGCCAGCTCCTGGAGTGAATAGTGAGCACATATAGCCTATTTATGTCTAGCTGGCATCTCCCACCTAAGGAAATAATAGCACGTTTCAGATTACAACTCTCCTCTTAAGCCACCCTGTCTCAATTTTAAGTTGTGATTATATCAGTGTTGTATATACTTTAACTATGTGGCACTACTTGGAGAAACAGAAATAACTGTACATTATTAGGTTTGAAAGACAAGCTCCCTCAAAGAAATGTAATTAAGGAACTTAAAGATGTGGAGAAATATGACTCTCTCATCATATAGGAGCTAGGTAAATTATGGTTAAAGAGCAATACAAAATAGTTACAAAACATTAGTGAAACCGCTACACAAAAGCTGATAGAGTGCAGGTACTGAATCAGCACTGAGCGGTGGGCTCAAACAGCCTCCTTTGACTACCCTGCTTAGATCCAGGCTCTATCTCAGAGACAGAAGCTGTTGCAGGGTTGAATTTAGTTGTTAGAGTTGGAGAACACGTGTGTATATTTATTTGTATGTATTTGTAAATTGAAAACCATGAATAGTGTCCTAATAGTGATAGTATATAATATTATATTACACTCCAATTTCTTTCCTTAAACCAAATGCCTATATATATATCATAGATTTTGAGAGATGCAGAATCTGCATCTAAATAGCTTGATTGATTGGCAGAAAACCTAACTACAGAATATAATATTCCTGGTGAGAGAGGTGATATATATATATATTTACTTATTATTATTATTATTTAAATTTTATATATATTTTACATCATTTTTTTATTTTTGCACAATGTATGCATCTTCATCCTGGTCACAGTCCCCACAAAATTCCCACCCCCACCTTGTTTTGATTCCACTCCCCCCACCCCGTAGTGTATCTTTGGCCCATAGTTGCTTGTTGATTTTGATTTTTCCTTTATTATAATTAGTCTTTTTCCTGGTCCCTTATTTAGGTTTTCTAAATTCCTGCTATGAGTGAGACCATCTGCTGTTTTTCTTTTTCTTTCTGGCTTATTTTGCTGAGCATGATCCCTTCCAACTCCATCCACGTTGTGCAAATTGCATGAGTTCATCTTTTTTTGATTGTCGAATAGTATTCCATTGTGTATATGTACCACATCTTCTTGATCCAGTCGTCTACTTTTGGGCATTTGGGTTCTTTCCATAGCTTAGCTATTGTAAATAATGCTGCTATAAACGTAGGGGTGCAGGTGCCCTTTTGAAATGGGTAAATACCTAGGAGTGGAATTGCTGAAGCATATGGAAGCTCCATCTTTATCAGGTTGAGGAATCTCCACACAACTTTCCAGAATGGTTGGACCTGTTTGCACTCCCACCAGCAGTGCAGTTGAGTTGCTTTTTCTCTGCATCCTCACCAACATTTGTTGTTGCTAGTTTTTTTGTTTTTGTTTTTTTTAATATATATGCTATTATCACTGGTGTAAGATGGTATCTCATTGTAGTTTTGATTTGCATTTCCCTGATTACAAGTGATGTTGAACATTTTTTCACATGCCTGTTGGCCATTTGCATTTCCTCTTTGAAGAAGTTTCTTTTCAGCTCTTCTGCCCATTTTTTGACTGTATTATTTACTTTGTTTCTTTTGAGTCTCATCAGCTCTTTGTAGATTTTTGTGATCAGTCCTTTATCATTAGTGTTGTGTGCAAAAATTTTCTCCCAACCGGTGGGGTGTCTCTTTGTTTTTGTTGCTGTCTCTTTTGCTGTACAGAAGCCCTTTAATTTGATGTAGTCCTAGCTGTTTACCTTTGCCTTCACTATCACTGCTTTGGGTGATATGTCTTTCAATATGTTACTGAGGTGTATGTCATGTAGTGATTTGCCTATATTTCCTTCTATATATTTTATGGTTTCAGGTCTTATGTCTAGTTCTTTAATCCATTTTGAGTTGGTTCTTGTGCATGTTGTGAGGTAGTAGTCAAGCTCTATTCTTTTGCATGTAGCAGCCTAGTTTTCCCAGCACCATTTATTGAACAAACTTTCTTTGCAACATTGCATATTCTTTGCTCCTTTGTCAAAGATTAGTTGACCATAAATCTGTGGGTTTATTTCTGGGCTTTCTATTTGGTTCCATTGAGCTGTGTGTCTGTTCTTGTTCTACTACCATGCAGTTTTGATTATTATGGGTTTGTAGTATAGTTTGAAGTCTGGGAGTGTGATAAGTCCATTCCTTTTTTTTTTTTTTTTCCAGGAGAGCTTTGGCTATTCAGGGTCTTTGGTGGCTCCATATGAATTTCATCAATATTTTCTATATCTTTGAAAAATGTCATTTAAATTTTTATTGGCATAGCATTGAATCTGTAAATTGCTTTTGATAATGTTAATTCTTCCAACCCATGAGCAGGGATTTCATTCAATTTCTTTGTGTCTTCTTCTATTTCTTTTAACAGTGTTTTATAGTTTTCTTTGTATAGGTCCTTTACCTCTTTTGTTAGGTTTATTCCCAAGTATTTGATTATTTTTTTGTTTGAATAATAACAGGGATTTTTTTTCATTTCTTCTTCTTCAGATTTATTGTTTGTGTATAGGAAAGCTACTGATTTTTTTTTGTGTTGATTTTGTATCCTGCTACTTTACTAAACTGATTGATAAGTTTGCTTAGTTTTTCTGTGGAGTTTTTGGGGTTCTCTATGTATATTATCATATCATCTGCAAATAGTGATAGTTTGACTTCTTCCTTGCCTATTTGGATGCCTTGTATGTCTTTCTCTTGTTTTATTGCTCTGGCTATGACTTCCAGCATTATGTTGAAAAGCAGTGGTGAGAGAGGACATCCTTGTCTTGTTCCAGATCTTAATGGGAATGCTTTCAGCTTTTCACCATTGAGAATGATATTGGCTGTGGGCTTGTCATAGATGGCCTTTATGATGTTGAGGTATGTTCCTTGTATCATAAGAATTTCAAGGGCCTTTATCATAAATGTGTGTTGTACTTTGTTGAATGCTTTTTCAGCATCTATGGATATTATCATATGGTTTTTATATTTCTTTTTGTTGATGTGTTGGATTACATTTATTGATTTTCAGATGTTGAACCATCCTTGTGTCCCTGGAATAAATCCTACTTGGTTGTGGTGAATTATATTATGGATACATTGGTGGATTCTGATAGCTAAGATTTTATTGGGTATTTTTGTATCCATGTTCATTATAGATGTTGGACTGTAGTTTTCTTTTCTTGTGTTGCCCTTATTCAGTTTTGGTATTAGTGTAATGTTGGCTTCGTAGAACATGTTTGGTATTATCCCTTCCTTCTCAATTTTTGAAAGAGTTTATGAATCTTTCATTTCTCAATGTTTGGTAGAATTCATTTGTAAATCTATCTGGTCCTGGACTTTTGTTTTTGGAGAGGGTTTTGATAACCATTTCAATTTCAATGCTTGTCATTGGTCTGTTTAGGTTTCTATTTCTTCCTTATCTAGCTTTGAATGATTGTAGAGTTGTAGGAATTTGTCCATCTCTTCTAGATTGTTGAGCTTATTTGCATATAACTGTTCATAGTAGTTTCTAATTATTCTTTTGATGTCTGCTGTGTCTGTTGTGATTTCTCCTCTTTCATTTGTGATCCTATTTATTTGTGCTTTCTTCTATTTTTCCTTTGTGAGCCTGCCTAGGGGTTTGTCTATTTTATTTATTTTTTCGAAGAACCTACTTTGGTTTCATTGATCTTTTGGATTTTTTTTTTTTTTAGTTTCTATTTCATTTATTTCTACATTGTATTTTATTATTTCCTTTCTTCTACTGGTTTTAGTTTTTTTGTTGTTGTTGTTCTTTTTCTAGTTCTTTGAGATGTGAGATTAGGTTGCTTCTTTGAGTTCTTTCTTGTTTCTTGACATGATCCTGTATTACTATTTATTTTCCTCTTATTACTACATTTGCTGCCTCCCATACATTTAGGAAATTGGTGTTCTCCTTGTCATTCAACTCAAGGTATTTTTTAATTTCTTCTTTGATCTCCTCATTAGTCCAGTGGTCTTCCAGTAGTGTGGGTTTCAATCTCCATGATGTAGGAGGGTTCCTTGCATTCTTTTTATGATTTATTTCTAGTTTGATGCCTTCGTGGTCAGAGAAGATGGTTGGTATGATTTCAATCTTGGTGTATCTGTTGATGTTTGTCTTGTGTCTCAGGGTGTAATCAATCCTGGAGAATGATCCATGTACACTTGAGAAAAATGTGTACTCAGATTTTTGGGGGTGTAGTGGTCTATAGATGTCTGTTAAGCCCATGAGCTCTAGGTCCTTATTTAAAACTTTCACGTCCTTACTTATTTTTTGTCTTGTTGATCTATCCATTGTTGATAGTGGTGTGTTGAAGTCTCCTACTACATATATGTTTTCTCTAATGTCTGTTTTTAGAGATGATAATAGCTGTCTGATATATATTGGTGCTCCTTCATTTGGTGA